TGCTTGATCTTTTCCCCAAATCTGCTCTTCCTTCCCAAACTTGTCCATGTCAGATAAGAGCATCTTCATCCATCCAGTTAGTCATGCCAGAAATCTGGGAATCGACCTTTCAATTACTTTCTCCTCAATTCCCATAAGCCAACCCCTTACTAAATCCTGTGGAACCTATCTCCAAAATAAATCTTGGATCCGTCCACTCCACTCCATTTCTACTTCCACCATTTATCCAAGTCCATGTTACTATCTTTAGCTGACACACGGCAGTAACCTTTTTAAAAACTTTTTTTTTGGTAGAGATGGGGTCTTGCTCAGGCTAGTCTCAAACTCCTGACCGATCTTAAGCTATCCTCCTGCTTTGGCCTCCCAAAGTGCTGGGATAACTGGCATGAGCCACATCTGGCCTATAGCAATAACTTTAATTGGTCTCCTTGCTTATGTTCTTCCTGTGCCACCAGCACTGCCACCACTATTCCCAAGGGCTTCTTCTCCCTAGATGGTTCTAGACAAAAATTCTTGCTCGCTGTTAGGCAAAAAATCCAAGCAAAGCCTCCAAAATGTTAGGTTAGACCAGATGGGGGTGGTCTGCGATCCAGTCCCGCATAAAAGATGCAAATAATTTCACAGAAGTTAGATTACAAAATATCGTTTATTTAGAAAGTAAATTAGAAGCCAGGCATGGTGGCTCACACCTGTAATCCCAGCACTTTGGAGGCAGAGGCAAGAGGATTGCCTGAGTCCAGGGATTCGAGACCAGCCTGGGCAACTTGACAAGATCTTGTCTCCACAATAAATAAAAAAATTAGCCAGGTGTGGTGGTGCACATCTGTGCTTCCAGCTACTTGGAAGGCTGAGGCAGAGGAAGTCTCACCTGAGCCCGTCAGGTCAAGGCTGTGGTGGCTGTGAGCATGCCACTGCATTCCAGCCAGGGTGACAGAAGTGAGACTCCTACTCAAAGAGAGAGGGAGAGAGAGAGAGAGAGAGAGAGAGAGAGAGAGAGAGAGAGAGAGAGAGAGAGAGAAAGGATATTCACCTTCCCAAGCTAGAGGAGGGGGCCAAAGCTAGGAACATGGCCTGACCAGTACTTAGCAAAACAATAGCAAATGGCTGCTTGAGGCTGAATACCTCCAAACATTCCCTTTGATGGGGGCAGGTCGGCAAGGTGATTGGGTGGTGGTCTCCTCACATCATCACAAAGGGGACAGGTAAGCACAGGTACTGATATCAGATGATAGATGGCAGGCAGATGGGTGGGTTAGTCACATGATTGCTGCCATGTTGATGGAGTCTGTGTCACGAAGGTCATGAAGGACTGATTAGGTTAACTTATTTACAAAAACAAGCTGGAGAGGAGGTTGTAAACAATTTTCAATAGCTACCTCTGAGAAACTGGTTTTGTCCTTGGCTAGTGATTAGATGACAAGTTAAAGTGAACTGCTAGAAAAACCTGACAGAACTAGACAGTGTTAAAATGGCTGCTCATTGGGCATATCAACTCTATCTTGGTCCTTTCAGTCTCCAACTCTTTTTTCCTAATCCTTCCTAGTGATTTCTTCAGGTTTGTTAATGGAAGGTATGTTATGGGTCCCTCAGGGAGGCCTTATTAATCTTATCCATTGCATATGGATTTTACTAGTTTAACTTTCACTGGTAACCTTATCTCCAAGTTCAAGAAACCTCATGGTTTCTTGTTTCTTTCTTTTGTTGTGAATAACTATGTTTGAGTAATTGAACAGTTGATGACCCAATGGAGAAAGCCAGAAATCAGGATTTTACAATTGTGCTAACCTTTGGAACACCAGAGACCTGTGTGGTATACTGATATTTCTTGTTGGTATACTACATAATCAGGACCTGCACTAAACCACGAACTGTTATGGGTTAAAGGCTCCCTTCTTCTAGATAAGTGGCCCGAGATGATAGGTATCGTTTTTTAAATTCCAAATAAGTTTTCATAACATATTTATCGATAACTTGTTAAAGTTGTAGTCAGTGGAGAGAGTATCTCAAAGTGCAGTGCTGTTTGGAAAAGTTAGGCAGAGGCCCAGAGAAGCTATGCCAAGCAGGTCACCAACAAAGGCAAAGCCAGCATTTTACCACTTAGTAAGATGCCTGGAAACTCCTGATCCTCATCATTATGGATGTGGTCTTTGTTAGGAAATTATGTAGAAGTGTTACAACAAGTTGTTTAAATACAATAATAACAAACTGGGTTTTGTTTTATTTTAAAAAGATCAGTTTCTTAAGAATCCTTGCCAGCTCAGTGGCTCAGCCTATAATACTGTGCCTTTGGGAGGCTGAGGTGAGTGGATTGCCTGAGCCCACGGGTTCGAGACCCGCCTGGGTAACTTTAGCAAGCCTTCATGTCTACAAGAAATAAAAAATTAGCTGGGCGTGGTAGCGCACGCTTGTAGTTCCAGCTACTTGGAAGGCTGAGGTGAAAGGCTCGCCGGAGCCCAGAAGGTCGAGGCTGCGGTGGCTGGGAGCGGCCACTGCACTCCAGTCTGGGCGACAGAGTGAG